AAATAGTTCTTCTTTCCTTTATTCTTAATGTTTGTTTTCTAACCTGGACAAGAAATTATTGATGAATATGTTAACCCTTCCCGCCCGGCAAAAAGAAAAAGAAAAAACAAGTCAGTGTCATGACAACTACACTGATAGCAGCTGATCAATAACTTTCCTTATATAAAAAATAAAAATATAAAAAAATAAACAGTTTAACGTGGAGAAATATTTAGCTAGAAGCTAGTTTACAGGTTTTCCACGAAACAACTTAAACAAATAATTCAAATTGAAAATAACGTTGTTAAGAATCCCAACTGACCGAAGGCAAACCAGTTGGCTATATGACAAGCATGGCCGAGGATTTGAAACTCGGGGCTACCGTGAAACAAATCCAGGTAGTGGCCAGGGCGGGACTTGAACCCGGGAGCAACGGATTGTAAGTCCGACACGCTGACCACTCGACCATGCTGCCTTATGGTGATTTCCCGTCTTAGTATCACTGCACTTATTGCTTAAGGAACTATAATTATCACTGAAATCATTCTTGAAGCAGTAAAAGTAAGATACAGCCAAAGTTTTATATAACTCTTCTAGGGTTCGTTCGTAATAAGTGTCAAAGCCATGGATTTTGATCCAGTATCATCGGATGACCTGATAGACGGATACGAAAAGACAGTCACTGTCGTTCCAAGTTCATAGACTTCTTCTCAGATTTGGCGGAAAAATCAGTTTGAGTGTTAATCCATCTACGACTATTTTGCAATATACAGTCCAGTACGTATGATGCACGATCCTCGCAGTAGATAGCGCTATTTAAGCAATAGCGAAAATCAGACCTGAAAAAAATCAGGCCTGTACGGGATTCGAACCACTGACCTCTGCGATACTAGTGCAGCGCTCTACCAATTGAGCTAACAAGCCAACTGGGAGCAGGCCGTTAAGTTGATTCGTAATAAACCCGTGAAAGTGATAAATCAGATGCAATGAAATATATGAAGTTCATATATCTTGAATTGCGGTATTAGATACGTATGATGCTCGATCCTCGCAGTAGATAGAGCTATTTACAGGCCTGATTTTTATTTACAGGCCTGATTTTTTTTTTTCAGGCCTGATTTTCGCTATTGCTTAAATAGCGCTATCTACTGCGAGGATCGTGCATCATACGTACTGGACTGTATATTGCAAAATAGTCGTAGATGGATTAACACTCAAACTGATTTTTCCGCCAAATCTGAGAAGAAGTCTATGAACTTGGAACGACAGTGACTGTCTTTTCGTATCCGTCTATCAGGTCATCCGATGATACTGGATCAAAATCCATGGCTTTGACACTTATTACGAACGAACCCTAGAAGAGTTATATAAAACTTTGGCTGTATCTTACTTTTACTGCTTCAAGAATGATTTCAGTGATAATTATAGTTCCTTAAGCAATAAGTGCAGTGATACTAAGACGGGAAATCACCATAAGGCAGCATGGTCGAGTGGTCAGCGTGTCGGACTTACAATCCGTTGCTCCCGGGTTCAAGTCCCGCCCTGGCCACTACCTGGATTTGTTTCACGGTAGCCCCGAGTTTCAAATCCTCGGCCATGCTTGTCATATAGCCAACTGGTTTGCCTTCGGTCAGTTGGGATTCTTAACAACGTTATTTTCAATTTGAATTATTTGTTTAAGTTGTTTCGTGGAAAACCTGTAAACTAGCTTCTAGCTAAATATTTCTCCACGTTAAACTGTTTATTTTTTTATATTTTTATTTTTTATATAAGGAAAGTTATTGATCAGCTGCTATCAGTGTAGTTGTCATGACACTGACTTGTTTTTTCTTTTTCTTTTTGCCGGGCGGGAAGGGTTAACATATTCATCAATAATTTCTTGTCCAGGTTAGAAAACAAACATTAAGAATAAAGGAAAGAAGAACTATTTGTTAAAAACACTGCAAGTAGTATAATTCATCCAGAGAAACAATGATGTACTTAAAAGCTCTCATAGACGATTCGTAAGGTTAATCTATGTGCCTCTGTCTGTTCGTCTCACTCCTGGCTTACTTTCCATGAAGAGAAACACAGCATGAAAATCAAGATTTACGAAGACTTAAATGTTGCGTAAATCTGCGTAAAGTTTTGTACGAAGGTTTACGTTAACTTTACGTACTATATAAGGGTAAGTAAAGAAAGCTTTACGCGAAAGTAGCGTAAAGCCAGCGTAAACCTTCCGTATAGTTTGTGAGTCGACTTTACGGTTATTTACACGTAGTGTAAATGAAACGTAAAGTTCTTTATTGTTTAGCCCAAATGGATCGAGCCCATAAAATGACATAATTCTTTGAGATGTAGGAGTTTTAATAGTTAAGCACAAATAATTATTTGTGCGAGCACAATGATGAAACATCACCAAAACAGTCTAAGCCTAGTTTGAGTTAAAAGCTTGCAACAATTTTCATTTTGAAAAATATGGTCTGAACTGGGACTTTGTCATTGGTAAACATAATATTCGGATTGTATTTTAGTTAGGCGAAGCTGAGCAAAAAAATCAATTTGCCTATTTCTCAGATTATGTGAAGGTGTAGTCTGATCGTCCGGGTGAGTGTAGTCCTGAGAAGGACTGTTGTCGGTGGTAGTGACTGACGTTTCGACAACCTGTGCGGAAGTCATCATCAGATTCAAGTGAATGATTGTTGTCAGTAGAATGTTCTTATTCCAGTTCGTGTGAAATGATCGGTTGGTTTTGCCGTGATGTTATTGGCTGTAAGACTCAAGTGACGTAAGTCGGTCGTGATTGGACTGTTTCGATCTGTCGGTAAAGTTAGGTTGTCCACAAACCCATCACCACACTACGTCAGTTACAAACCAACGTTAAAGACAAAGACGAACCGAGGAACAGACAGGGAACGATTTATAAGATCAATTGTTCCGACTGCCAAGCCTCCTACATCGGTGAGACTGGCAGAAACCTCACAACAAGACTGACTGAACACAGACGGGCGACGAGGAAAGGTGATGACAGCAATCACATTGCTGAACACCATCGACTTACCAACCACAACATTGACAGGGACTCTGCGCAATGCCTAACCTACAGCACTGACTATTTTCAAGGACTGACTCGTATTTGCTGGTTTACTAACTTAGAACAGACTCCCCTAAACAGATGTCAACAACTACCCGCTCCATACAAACGACTCATTCACGACATAAACATCACAAACGACCGAAAAAGAACGACCTTGGCTATCAATCATCTCATATCCAACGCGCGCTCGTGGAATAATTGTTGAATGTTACTAATCATGGTGGTTCTAAAAAGTCTCAAGTCAGTAGCTCACATTGTCAATCCATCCGTCCGTGTAGGCCCGATTGTATTCATGAATGTGTCATTCATTTAGTCAGTTGGCAAGTTAGTTTCTCTCTCTTTCGGTCACTAACGGGCCAGAGCGTCAATCAGTTGCGCTTTGATTTTTTCCGATCCCCCCATACCCTCCAAATGCACCTGTAAGTTTTTCAAAGACAACAAATTGCTCTCGAACTCATGTTATTACCTGTGGCGAATCTTGGGGAGGGGCATGGAGGACCCCCTTATTTTGGTAAAACAAATAAACGCAGAGGGAAGAAAGCCGGTAGGTGAACGCACACCAACTCAAAACTCAAAGTCTGGATCCGTCACTGATTACCTATGCTAAACAATGGCAGCCATATTTAAGTGCAAGACCCCGATGCAGTCACTCTCTGACTCAGGAGTGCTCACAACCTTTTAAAGAGAATCCACTTAATCCGCTCCTTGTAAATGCGCTCTCTTAAACATACACACGGAAAAATAATAACCGCAAGAAACAATATAAGCAAAGTAGGTTTCTTTCGCTTGAGTGACGTAAACAAATTAAAAAAGGTTGATTTTCTTATTTTGAAACTAAATGAAACTGCATTGAATAGGGTCGAGAAAAAGATAAGTACTGATCAGGTATCAATTCATATCGTGGCTTTTCCACGAAAAATCGATTTGTATTAGATTGTCAGATGTTTTGAGCTGTCTTTCATAATGTTTGTTTGTAAGTTAAGCTAAGATTTGACCTGACTCAGATTCGTTTCAACAGTACAACCTGTGTTATCGCTGATCAATCGTATATCTTTATTTTTTATAATATTCTAAAGAAAAGTTACATATCAGAGTTCCACAAATCCTTTTAGTACGTGTATCAGTATTACGCATCAATTTTTGCTTTCATCGTTTATTTTCCTTGAGGTGCTTCCCGCTTTCCGCTTTATGACGATAATGACCCTTCAAGATACCCAAGGCAAACAACTTGTTTGCTCGCAACCTTTTTACAAACAGCCCCTGCTTCAATGCAAGACGTATCACTGTTTTTCAATAAAGAGAAGACAGCAAAATTGTGCTTAGCGTGGACAACTGTCCAGCTCACCTACATTTAAATGATCTTAAAGCTATTAATTTAGTGTTTCTGCCGCCTAGTACCACATCCAAGACGCAGCCCATGGACCAGGGCGTAATAAGAGCTCTCAAAGCTCATTACAGATCAAAAGCTGTACAAATGTACATATTAACTGCAATTGAGAACAATAGGCCAATCCCAAACATCAGCATCCTTGTTGCTATGGATACTGACTTGTTGCAGCATGGGACAAAGTTACGCCAGGAACCATCAACAACTGCTTCAGAGCAGCCGGGATCTCACATCAGTCCCAAGAAAGCTCACTTTCTGATGACGATAATCCATTCATGACTTTGGCGGAAGAAATCGATGAGTTAAGGGAACGAGCACCTGAACTTGCAACGAAGAATGTCACGAGTGGCATTGCTGTGGAATGTGAGGATGGTGCGGCTACTTTTGAAGCTGATCCCTTAACTGATGAGGATATACTAGCAGAGTTTAACCACTCAGCAGATTCAAATGAAGAGGAGGAAGAAGAAATGGACGAGGACGAGATTGTGATTGTAGACGAGCCGCCAAAACCACCAACACAGTGTGAACTGCGGCATGCAATCGGCGTGCTTAACACATTCAGCTTTTTTCCTGATGATGCGCACCTCCATAATCTGCGGAAAAGTACCAGGAACATTTCTCAAATCATAGACCAGAGTTTCTCGGTAACAAAGAGGAAACAAGCTATTACAAATTATTTCAGCTAAATTGAGTGAGCGCTTTATACAGACTCTACACGACATGTGTTCTGTAATGTACCGGTTTTGTTTTTTAAGTGCGTTTTGTTTGTAAATAAAGGTCAAGATCTACATTAAAAGTGATGTATTTTTGTTAAAATTTGAACATTTACTCATAATCAAACAATACCCGGCCAATTAAGTGGTTTGGTGTTAAACCTTGAGATGAATTTTGTTCGCTAACTCCTTTATTTCATTTAACTTTTTCTCTTCCCTTTCTCCTTTTTCCTCTAAACGCAACAACCTACTGCCCCCTCTTATATAGTTCCTTACAATCTTTCTAGAAGATTCTACAGGTTTACAACATGACTATTTTCATTAACATTACATCATAGAATTTTCCAGAATTTACGGTAAACAACTCGAGTTTCTATAAATAGCCGTCACGTATTCATGTCGAAACCACTAAAACTTTCCTAAAGGACGAATCAATAATGTTCTGGAAATCATAAGATATTCGATAAACGTGCTAAATGTCATGTCTTCTGTCCATTTCCCAGCTCCCGATTTCTCGAACCAATTTGCGATTCCCCTGGAGGCTCGAGAAATCGGGATTCTACTGTACACTGATGATTTATGGATGCCACTCACGGCCCCTATTTATAAGGGCATGATAACATTGTTGCCAAGGTCGTAACATGCTCCAACACGTCTAAGAGCGCTTTTCACAATTCCACAATCCTAGCATTTGCGATACCCTCTTCTCTCTGAAAGGACCGAGACCTAGCTTTTTTAAGGTTTTATGGGGTATCTCATTCAGCATCAATGACAAAAAAGTGACTTTCGAATGGAACGATTTTTTTCTCGCTGAGTAATTTAGATGCAGACTGTAAAAGAAAAAGATGAGGACAACGTAGAACGTAGCGTGGCCGTCGACTTAACCAAATAAACAAAATAAGAAACTACTAAAATCACGGTAAACGACAGGAAAGGAAAAGTCAACATCTCATTTCATCCATCATCTCTTCGCATTTCGTCGATCTCGCCTTCTATGCGTTGCAGCCTTAACTTAATCAGCTTCTTCTCTGACTTGAATACAAAGAATGCTCTCCTTACCGCGATCAAACAATCATAACGGACACAAATTGTGATTTTTAATAGTCTTGCTCAGAGTGCACATTAACCTTTATTTAAAATGAAATACAGAAGATTTGACTTAAATTTCATAAAGTGGACATTGATTTCTATTCAAAATTATATAGATAAGTGATTAAGGTTTCCGGCCTCCGCTTCCACCCCCACGTCCACCACCGCGTCTCCGGCCTCCACCTCCCCCTCCGCTTACAGGTTTCCGGTTTCTGCGCCTGCCTCCATCCCCGGGTCTCCAGCCTCCTCCCCCACCACCACTAAAAGGTTCCCAGCCTTCATCACGGGGTTTCCTGTCTCCACCTCCTGCACCAGGTTTCCAACCTCTAAAACCAGATCTCGAGCCTCCACCTCCGCCTCCGCCTATAGGTTTCCGGCCTCCGCCCCTCCGCCTCTTCCTCCTCCTCCCCTCTGCCTCCGCCCCGCCTCCGTCATTAGAACTCGAGTGTTGCAAAGTGTTCATGCTCACTAACGGCTGGGCATAGGTTGCTGCATCTTGGCTCATACTAGAGTCCAGCGTCATTAGTGGGGAGTCATGGATCTTACGATACTTGTTATGCGCTTGTAAAGTTTCCTCTTCAAAAGAGCCTAAACAAGATAATACATTTGTTGTTTTGTGAGAGTTTTCATCCACCAGATTTACAGTGAATTGCAGTGAGGACTGAGTGACAGTATCCTCATTTAAAGACATGGAGTTGGTATAATATGGTGTCATTACAGTCGAAACTAAGACAAATGCGTCATCCTTTTCAAAGAATTTGACAAACAGTGGTGGGTGTTCATCTATGAATCTGTTCTTTCATTTTCTTAATCATTTGAACCGGTAAAGTGTACATTTAGTCAAGTGGTTTGCTTTAAGGATGTGATTCCCAAGACTGGATTATATAGATAATCATCACGTATTTTTGTGTTAAAGGTCATTGATGACATCTGCAACGCGTCCGTACCTTTGAACGTGAATCGTTAAGAGAACAAGATATGAACAATGGTCGATAAGGGGTCTCTTTTTAAAATTCATGCAACAAACATGAAATTACATCTTTTCCACTGCGCGTTTCCTTCATATGTCGCACAGAATTGATTTAGGAAAAAAAATAAACAATTTGAAATAGTTCCACTAATCATTGAGGTATCTAGGCACCTTTCTACAAGTGTATTACTTACCTTCAACGTTAAGCAGCCTCCCTAAAAAAGAATGATAGAAAAATAGAAAAAGATCTTCAGTGACAAGAAGTTAAATGGCAATTATTAAAATTCGATATTCAGTGAGCTCACAATCTGTCACCAGCATTTTCTTCCTCTTGCCTTGATAATGAAAACTGTACGACATAATACCCCCTTCTCCAAAAGCGTTTACGTGTTCCACCTTCGTGTAAGTTGATCGTCTCAAATATCGCAACAAAATAACTGAATGTTGATTAGCTAATGTAATAAGCGGATTTTTTTGTTCAGGAGAGCACTCTTGGTAAATAAAGACAGCCAGCAAGATTAATCGCCCCTGAGTGTTCAGCAAGTCGACCATAATTTCTCAACGTCAATGTTTTCTTCTACATAGCTGTAGAAGTTACGAGTAATCTGATTTGTAAAACTAATTTCTAAACTAGTGTTTTAACAAACTTCCCTCAAAGATGACGAGAGATACTGCCTAATTAATTTCTTTTTAGAAGTGCCGACCGGCTTTTAGAGCGGGGAAAGAAAATTTTTCGTCTCATATTTGCCTAAAAGCGTTCAATTTACTGAGAACAAATAATGCAAGTATCCTCGTGAATAAGCGGTTGAGAAAAAGCATTGCAGTCGGCCGCTCTTTAAACGAAAAGGATTTCAAAAGTGTACCAAGAATTCTAGACAAAGCTATTGGAGAATAAATTATTTTTTAAATAAAAATGCCTACTTTTGAGCAATGTAACTGGTACCAAAAATGTGGATTCACCTCGGTGTGATGTATAAAGTTTCCCTCGAGGAGTCCAGGAACCTGACCGTCACTTCGGACAGTTTTCTAGAAAACTTTCAAGACTCGCTCCAAATCAATCAATGATTGTTCTTGGAAGAGGTCAATAACGTGAAAACAAATTCAACCACTGGTAACATTTCAACAAGTTAAAGGCAGAAAGACGTGTACGTTATCGTGGGTTCTCTAGTCTCATTATTACGTAATTTCTCGGCTTCCTGTAGCTTGTTCAACGCTTTTTGCCCTTTTTCCGGCTTAAATACATGTTGTTTCTATCCTTCACAACCGGAAACTGATTTGTATGTGGGCCGAGATGAACTTAAGTTGCTTTCCAGTTAAAAATTATTCAAGATACTTCTCTTTGCTCTGAAGGTAATTCACATTGCCCATAGGCCTTACCTAACATGTACAGTGTCCCCAGCAACATAACTAAAGATGTCCCTACAGACATTTCGAAAGAGGAATCAAAAATCCCTTTTCAAACTTCTTCAGAACGCTGAATTCAGAGTAGCCTCTGTTTTCTTCTCAGTAGTGCTGGTGCCTTTACGAATAAGGCGGGGTTGTGTTAGCCTATATTTCCAGGTTGTACAGGTGAAACTACAGGTGTTTGGATAGAAAAGCCAGTCAAAGATGGTGTAATCTAAATTAAATTAAGTAGAGTAGCTGTAATGAAAAAAGAAACTATTAATGACCTCATTAGCCTCACGATCGATTTTGATCACCGAAGGAGGACACTATTGAGAAACGATTTAGGGTTTAGCCTCTGCTCGGCCATAAATTATACACGTGCACGTACTGACCACAGCAGAATCATTACGGGAGGTTAGTCATTGTCAAAAGCAAAATATATGCAGCATGGAAAAATTAAATCAGTGGGAGATGTGAAATGAACAATTATTACCTCTTAAGGAATATTAGTTATGATTTGTATAAGAAGCCATTGGAAGGTCAGAATGATCCCTCTCGAGAAGTAAATGAAAAGCTTTATGGGTTAATAGTTGTATTTAAAATACCCTCTGCAACCAGTTTAAATAATTATCTCTCTCAAGGAGAAGTAAATGAAAAGCTTGACAGGTTAAGTGTTGTATTTAAAATACGCTCTATTATTGTCCAATTGTGTTTCGTAGAGTACAAATAACGCTCGAGATGGGTACAAATATCACGCGATATTTGTACTCCAGAAATACCCGCGAAATTCGCCCGCATTGAAATAACAATCTGGCGTGTTGGATTATAAATCTCTTATTAGACATTTTGTTGAGTCGTCCTACGGGATCGTGAAATTACGGCACAACCCGAAAAAATACTCAGCGATACTAAACAATAAAACGTCTAATAAGATATATTAAGCAGTTTAAATGATGGCCACCGTAAGATTTCGAGATTTTTAAAGATTACTTCGATAACTAACATGTGAGAGCAGTACTTCCCAGAAAGGAAATCCCCTAAAATGATGCAAAAGTTCATTGAAGCAAATTGTATTTCATTTACAATACTTTCAATTAGAAACCTAATTTATCTACTACTTCGATTTTGATTCATTTTATATCAACTCTTTCCCTTTAAGATTGAATTGATGGAATAAATGGGAAATTTTTTTAATATCCCAAACGTGGCAAATCATAGAAACTGTTTTCTTTGGAAGCAATATATGATGTAAGAATCTTAAATGTAAGGATAGCAGGAGGTACTTAAAACAGTAATCGTAAGAAAGGTTGAAAGCAGCAAGATCAAGAAAGATACCGTCATGAATCATTTGGACAGAAACAGCACGCGCCAAAATTTTATTTTTATTTGCGTTCCTCAGGGGAAACAACAGACTTGATACTCTGATGGTCAAGGGCGCCTCCGACCCCATCCGTTGTCAACTACTTCCAATTCCAAAAAAAAATTGTTCAAGCCATAAAAAATAAAAAGCTAAGTTTGATGTATCCATTTAGTCTGCTGTTCTATAATCGTTGAATGATTACTGACTCTATTATCATTCTATTGTCTTTTAATTGTGACTCTACTATTGTAATCTCACCATGATGTAATAAAAACACATTCATTCCAGAATGTTACTCTTTGTATTACGTGTTGATAACCTTTGCGGCCTAATCTACTTAAGGGCGGAGAGGAAAAGATACCACAAGCGAAATATTTTATAACTTGTCGCAGCCACCAACTGTGAGCCGTAACATATCTCTTTTACTCAAGAGTTTTCTTCTCAGCTTTATACCTTTTGTCAAAGCTCTCTATCCCTGAACAACTGCAAAGATTACCGGCCCAAGACGGAGGGAAATAAGCTGAATGTCAGGAAACTAGGAACATTGGGTTCCAGCTGGCTGTTCCTTCACCTGATCGCTTGAATGACCCGGAAAGTGGGGGTTGGGGAATAGGGAGAAACCCTATGTATCAAATGGGGAAGAAAATCAGATTATTGTCTCGTAGTTATGTTATCATTTAGTTTTATCCGAAGAGGATAAAGAAAATTAAAATGAAAGAACAGATTCATAGATGAACACCCACCACTGTTTGTCAAATTCTTTGAAAAGGATGACGCCAGATTGTTATTTCA